ATTTATATTTATATTTATAGATAATAACTATATTTTCAAAATTTATACTTACACTTCGATATTCAAGATCATCTTCTGAAGATGATAAGAAAAGTTCAAATACAGAACAATATCTTGAGAAAAATTATATTATTAAAAAATCACCTTGGGCAGCGGGACGCCCGACTCCATTAGTAAATCAAAATGATTGGAAAGGATTAAATGTTGAAGAAGTAAAGAATCTTCGAACTAGTAAAAAAGGTAAAAAATCAAAGAAAGGCTAGTAATGGAAAACCCTATCTGTCTGCATAGATTGATAATTGGCGATCCAAAAAAAGTTAGATCTACAAAATACAACCCTGTACAAGTATGTAATATTGCATTTTGCTCAAATAATAATAATAATAATGATAAACATTCTGTTCATATTTCTTTTAACATAATGGTTCAAAGTTTTAATTTAAGTGGAATTTTTGGGGTGCTTAAAGTTTTAAAAAATCCCCAATTTATTGTACCACACATGATTTTACATGGTACAATTGTCTTAAAGAATTCTTAATAATCAAAAAAAAAAATCATCATCAATAAAATTCTTCTAATCATTTCATTATATAACTATTATAACTGAACTGATAAATTCATCAAAAGATATTCGTGATATAAATTTTGAAATATTAAAAAATAAAGGGATCCAAGTATTAGCTTTTGATAAAGATAATACTCTCACCGCACCTTATTCAAATAAGTTACATGAGCAATTTGAGGTAATTTTGATGATTTGTATTCAATTGACTTGATCAGTAAATATATATGTATATATTTTTAATGTAATAAAAAAGAATGCATGGAAAGAATGTCAAAGACAATTTGGTAAAGAGAATATAATAATTATATCAAATTCTATTGGAACAGATGATGATCTTGAATATCGAAGTGTAAGTATAAATTTTGAAAATATAGTTATTATCTATAAATATAAATATAAATATAATTTAAATATAAATATAATATAAAATTTTATATTTTATAGGCACAAAAGGTAGAAAATTCTTTAGGTAAGTGAAAATAAGATTTTTAAAAATGAATTCCTAAATGATTTATTTTTAATTGATGTAATTAATTCCAGGTGTCTCTGTATTAAGACATAAATATAAGGTATATATATATAAGTTGAAGAATCAAAGAATTCATTCATAATTGATTAATAAAATAATTTATGTTTTAGAAACCTAATGGAGGAACTGAACTTATCACTCATTTTGCTTCACTTCCTCCAGCCAAAATCGCTGTTATTGGTGATCGTCTGCTAACCGATATTTTATTTGGAAATATGAATGGAATGTTTACAATATTCACTAAACAAATAATTACAGAAAAAGGTGATAATAAGATGGCTGCTATGGTAAAAAATTCTTTTATTTATTTATTAAAATTTTTTTTTTTTTCTTGTGCACATTTTCTACATTTTCTACATTTTCTTATATTTTTTGTAGATTAGAAGATTTGAATATCGAATATTAGATTATTTGAAAGATCGAGGAGTCAAACCTCCACCACATCCTTTGCATTAAATAACATAAATAACATTAAATACTAAACTATCAACTTCACTTTTTTACTTTTTTATGTTATAGCTTTAAAATGCTTGCTGTTATTATGAAAATAATATATACAATAATTCAAAAGTTGTGTAATATTATGTATCAAACTTTATTTAATAATAAATAAAGTAAATACATATTTTAAATTTTTTGATGTAAAAAAGGCAACTCTACTTACTCTACTTATTATTGAATATTCGGGGATTTACTAAATCTATTCTTTGTGTACACACACATGCACGTTTCAAACATTGCGATCTAAAATCGAACCAATCAAATTTGTGTCAATATACCTTTTCCCGCCTTTTTTTCAATTTCTTCAAATAATTTATCATCAACTGGTGGCATTACTGTTCTCATATTTTTTGAATAATGCCACCATAATAAATTTGCTTTTCGAGAAGGATATAATGGTTTATGAGGAGGTACAGGTAATACAGGATATAATGATTTCCCTTGTGTGGTTATTAAAGTTTTTAAAGATGGTGACATTCGAGGAGGTGCAGTTCGAGGATATCCTTTAACTATAGGTTTGGGAGCTGGACTTGGTTCATCAATGATTGGCTATTGACAATAAAATATTATCAAAGCTTTAAAAAAGGGTAGAGATGATTTTATGATTTCATTTGATAATTTCATTTATAGTATTTATAATTGACCTTGAGCAATTTATGTCTCATTTGTCCCCTTCTTCCATATGCAAATTCCAAAATACGTTTTACTGATTTAGGATCAAATATATTAGCTCTCTTTAGTCGATTTAAGGACTATAACAACAATATAAAGCATGAAATACAAAATGGATTTTTAATGAAAAATCAAGTTATCTTAATAAATCGTAATAAATCGTAATAAATCACAATAATCGTAATAACTCATTAAAAATTTCAAACCTGCTTTGCTTCAATTAATTTATATTTAATTCTAGTTTCATTGGTTTCCTCTTTATATTCTCTGAATCTCTTTCTTGCCCTTTTCTTTAAGAATTGCCTTTATTTAAATTATAATCATAAATCTGTAATTGTGGAAAATATCAAGTATTAAGCATTTTTAAAATGCATACTTCGCATAATCATCAAAGAATCGTGATGATTCCCTGAGAATGCTTCTGTATAATGAAAGAATATGGCGTTTTCTTATTGCCTTGTCCATATCCGATCTGATAAATAATATCTGATAAAAAATATCTGAAATAAATATATTTTATTGGTTGTACAAAAATAGTTACACTTAGAAAATGGACAAACATGCATCGCCCACTGATACTTGTTTCACATGAGTTCATCATCAAATGTTATTAATATATATGGGCTCAATTTCATTATCATTTATATCCCATCCTCTATAACATCTGTCTAGTTTTTCCAATAAAATCTTGGTATTTTGTATTAAAAGTATTTCGTCTCATATAGAGTCATAACAAATTTCCTCATATTGTTTCAAATTATACAAGTATGAAAAATGAGTATCACACATTATCAACATAATACAAGTACAAAGTCAAAAGGCATAATATTAGATATTCCCGTTGAAGTTTATACAGATATTTGTAAATACATACCACCCATTGATCTTGTAACGCTTTCATTAGTTTGTAAGAAATTTCGTCGATGGTTAATTGCACCATCCAATTTTGGAACTGAACAAATTTGGAGAACATCAAGAACAAATTTTTTATCATCAATACGAACACCTCCACCTGGAATTTCTGAACAATGCTACACAATTTTACATTTAATTGAATTAGGTTGTCAGTTTTGTGGAGCTGGAAAGGTTGATCCACGTGGAGAATTGCCCACTGAATCTCCAGTAAAAATTTATTGGACATTTAGAGTTCGTAGTTGTCATAATTGCTTAATGGAACGAGTCATAACGTAAATTCTCTTTTTTAAACTTTTTTTTTTTTTATGTAATTTTAAATTTTAATCAATCAATCTTAATCTCTAATTAAATTTTGATTAGCAAAACAAAAATTCAAGAGGATGAAAGCGTTCTCGATTTTGCACTCTCGGGACTTCCATTTTTGGTGCGAATTAATCGACCATACATTTATTGGAAAAAAGATGTTGAAGATGCACTTCGAGAATTTGAAAGTATGGATAAAAAAGATATTTTTAATTGGCAAGCAGAAAATCTTCTCAAATTGCGACAAAAAAATTTGATCACGTCATATTGTAATAATGTTGCTCGTAATGAACCATGGGAAAAATACCATAAGAAAGTTAAATTGAGAACAGTAATTCAACAATTGTCAATGATTGTCCCAAATGATGCGAAAAGAAAATTTCAAGAAGTGGAAGTGGAACTTCGTCGATGTCCAACTTATAAAAAATATGCTATATGTCCCAAGGCAGCTTCAGCAATGAAATTAGTTAACGAACATCATTGGAACAAATTTCAAGAAATAATACATCACGAATATAACGAAAGACGTGAATATGCTATTTTAAGAGCTAGACAATATGATTTATTCTTAAAAGTAAAAAATTTTGATGAATTTATTTTTATTTTTTTTTTCATTTTTTAATTCAATTAATAATTTTAAATAATTTTTTAGGTTTATTCTTTGATTCCTTCAAAATATTCCATGAATGATTCAATTGTTCAATATCTGTGTCATTGTCCATCATTTAAAAAACCACCATTATACTCTTGGGATAATAATTTTTTAGATACGAAATTTATTCCTCAACTTGCACGAGAAGCTCGAGAGATTGCAAATAAAC